ATTAAACATTAAACAATAAAAATTTAATATTAACCATGATTATTTTAATGAAAGTTATATTAAATCTTTTTAGTTGGTGTAGTTTTTTTTTAATTATTTACTATTTATTGATATTGAATAAGTTATTATAATAAAAAGACATGCACTGTCAATAAAATAATGATAAAATAAAATGAATCTAGTATTGTTTTAATTAAAAATAATATTAGCATGATTTTGACTTAATATATTTGTAAATAGGTAGAAATTAAAAAAAAAAAAGATATTCATAGTAATTGCTATATGTTTATTTTTTATTACGATTTCATATCATTTTAGTAAATAACATAAAAGATATAAGATTCTATTACTTATCATTACAATTTTTTCTTTTGAAAAATCATTAAAATTCATAGTAAGTAAATGTAGCTTTAACTAATAATTTTTACACGTGGGTAGACCTTTTCAATTGTAAAATTAATCAAATATTAAAATGAGATACTGAAATCAAGAGGGTGGTAGTTGTTGATATGGACGAAGACAAATAGAAGATGATAAATGTGAAAAAAATGGAAAAAGAATTGGCTCCTGAAATCGTACTTTCACCTTCCTCTTTTTTCTCTCCTCTAAAACATGGTAGTTGTTGATATCGATGGAGACAAATAGAAGAAGATAATATGAAAAGAATGGAAAAAAATTGGCTCCTGAACTCAGAATCAGAAGGCTCCTTTGATTAATGAAAGACCCAATAACTTAACATGTTTTGGTTTTAAAATTTTCTATTATTTTATTAAAATTTATGTCTCTTTTAAATATCGTACTTTCACCTCCCTCTTTTTTCTCTCCTCTAAAACGCATCTCATTCGCTCTTTTTCTCTTCCTACAATCTCTCATCTTTTATTTAATTATTATTTTTTTAATTGAATCGTCCTCATTTTTATTTGAATTATTTTCTACAAAATTTATTAATTTAAAAAAAAAATTGGGGTGATTTTATGTGGAATAAACGCGTAAAATTACTCATCTCAATTTATATATCTATTTGTTTTTTATCTGAATATCTTTTTTTTTTCAAGAATATACTATTTCTATGCTTTCGGATTGATTTAATGTGGAATAAATTATTTAACAATTTTTTTAATTTTCTAAATAAATAAAGGTCTAATATTTGAATCATATGTAATTTAGAAAATTTAAAAAAAAAAAGTAACATGAGCATAGCTTATAACTAGTTAAAACACTACTAACCTTAAAAAAAAAATTATATTTTCACTTTGTACTTTTAAAAAAAACTAATATATAATAGGTTAGACATATTTAGTATTAAAATGAATTTATATTTTATTGATGATTAATAAAAATATTAAATATTATTTTTCTTAATACAACGTGTGAGGGTAGGAAAATTATTACTGAGTTATGTTCGTTTTAGGAAAATATTAAACATGGTTAAACTTTTGAACAAAATAAAACATAGTTAAACTGAGTTATGTTCGTTTTAGCAAAATATTAAGCATAGTTAAACTTTTGAACTATTATATACATAGATATAGTTCTTGGAGATTATATCTATTTGGTTATATAATTTAAGATAATTATAATTTGGACATATAAATTCATGACTATATCAGGACTAGCTCAAGCCTAAAGCGACTTCGCGTGTATAAATATATTTTAAGTACTTAATTGAAAATTTTTAATAAATTTAAAGTAAATTTGAGAAATTAAAATTTTAAAAGATAAGAATAAATTGGAAATTACCTTGAAACCACTGACAATAGAATTTGCTTCTATATTGATTGTCTACTTCTATTTTAATTCCTTTAGAAAATTACAGTTTATTTGCATTTTCTCTTTTTTAAGATTTAATCTAAGTAAATTTCTATGTTAATATGTTCTGTTTTTAGATCTTTGTCACATCTTTGGTCAAATAGTACTTTTGAAAGGTTTATGAAAAAGAAAAAAATAGAGAGATATTTTTTTTATAATTCAACCTAAAATATATTGAAATAAATAGTAGGAAAAATCAATTTATACGATTAAATTTTTGGTAAATCCCTAAACTAATAATAGTATCGATTAAAACCGTAAACTTTAAGTGAATTAATTTACACTTTATTGTTCTTTCTTTTTTATTGAAAAAATTAAAATATGTTTTATAACAATTTATTGTTTATCGTTCTCCAAAATTGTGAAGAATAAAGTAAATTTAAAATTAATTTTTATATTAATTTTATTATATATTTTATAAGTCAATGATGGTAAAATAATGCTTTTAATTATGTTTTGAAAAAAAAATAGGGAAACAATTACCAAAAGTCTAGATCTGTATGGTATGCAATCCACGTTATATTTATTGTTTTCAGATTCACTAAATCAAATTCATTAACATCTGTTTAGCATTTATTTTTTAAAATTATTTCATGATTGCGAAAAATTTTAAAAACAACTTTATTTTCTGTGCTTTCAAATTTTGAATTTGAAATTTTAAAATGCATAATTATATTAGAAAAAATAAAAAAAGTACAATAAATATAATATTTGTTAGGTTAAAAATTAAAACATGTAAAATATAATATATTATAAATTATATAATGTTTTTTTAGATACTTTTTTGTAAAATTATATAATATTGTAAAATAATAAGTTTACAAAACTTGTAACACATAGGATAATAAATTAATTAATATTATTTTAAATTGAAATAAATATTTAGGTGATAAATAACCCTAATTTAAAAATATAGATTCAATTTCAAAATTTGCTATTGTAAAATATCAAAAAACACTATAAATACAACAATCCCTACCGACCAAAACTGAAACAAAAATAAAAATGTTATCAACGGATCCTTAAATGTTGGAACGAAAAAAATTGGTGGGATTCACTTGAGTATTACTACCCTAAAAAAAATAATCATACTTCTCTCCTAAACTCTCGTTAATCTCATTTCCATTTCTTATTTCGGGGCCTCACAATTTTTCAACAATTACTTTAACAAATCTTTCATTTTTTTTTATTAATGAGACTCATAACTTTTCAATATATTTTTGACTAATTGAACTATGTTCACGTTGACTTGAATTAATTATTTTATAATTTTATAATTTATTTATATTACAAATAATATTTGTTATAATAAAATTTATACAACAAATTTATTATAAATTATTGCAAATTTCTATTTAATTTATAAATTACTTCATTTTACTTTATTAGTATGAATTAATATCAATCAAGTTGTTTTAGATTAGAATTAATCATTATTAAACATTAAATAATACAAATTTAATATTAACCCTGGTTATTTTAGTAAAAGTTATATTAAACTTTTTTAGTTGTGTAGTTTTATTTAATTATTTATTATTTGTTGATATTGAATAAGTTATTATAATAAAAATGTATGCACGATCAATAAAATAATGAATCTAGTATTGTTTTAATTAGAAATAATATTATCATACTTTTTATTTAATATATTTGTAAATAGGTAGAAATAAAAAAAATTATAGTAATTGCTATATATTTAATTTTTATTACGATTTCCTATCGTTTTAGTAAATAACATAAAAGAAATAACATTCTATTACTTATCATTACAATTTTTTTTTTTTGAAAAATCATTATAATTCATATGACTTTAACTAATAATTCTCACAGGTGTGTAGACCTTTTCAATTGTAAAATTGGGGAAATATTAAAATGAAATGCTGAAAACAAGAGGGTGGCAGTTGTGTATATCGATGGAGACAAATAGAAGAAGATAATATGAAAAGAATAGAAAAAACCTGGCTCCTGAAATTCAGGACCAAAACGCTCCTGATTAATGAAAATACCCAATAATAAGTTAGCATGTGTTGGTTTAAAAAATTTCTATTATTTTATTAAAATTACATCTCACAATATCTCTTTAATATATCGTATTTTCACATTCCTCTTTTTTCTCTCCTGCGAAACGCATCTCATTCACTTTTTTCTCTTCCTACGATCTCTCACTTTTTTTTTTAATTCATTGACTTATTTTCTACAAAATTTACTAGTTTTAAAAGAATTGTAGTGAGTTCATGTGGAATAAACTGATAAAATTACTCATCAGAATTTATATTGACTATTTGTTACTTTTTTTTTTTCGAATATCATCTTTTTTTTCAAGAATATACTACTTTATTCTTAACCAAATATCAAAGTGATTTAATGTGGAATAAACTGGCAAAATTACTCCTCCCAATTTATATGTCTATTTGTTCATTTTTTTTCAAGAATATACTATTTCTACGCTTAGCTAAATATAAACTTTTCTTTCTTCTCTATAATAAATAGAACTAAAAAAACTAACTCAGTTATTAAGAATCAACCGTTATTTATTTATTTATTTTGACCGTTCTTTATTTTAAATTATTAAAAAGTTGTTGATATGTTTCTCAAGTTGCTGACACGAGCCTCCTGATTTAATCAAGCGGTTGAAAATATAAGTAGATTTCATTTAAAATATGAGGAAAATAAGGAAAATAAAAAGTAAAAAAGATTGTGTACCTATGAATTGTCATTCTATAATTTAAATGCGAAAAGTGAAGGAGATGCGTTCCAAAAAAGGAGAAAAAAGAGGAAGGTGAAAGAATGTAGGGATAGAAAATAGGAGAGGAGAAACTCATTTAATTAAAGAGATATTAGGGAGATTCCAATTTTATTAAAATAGTAGAAAAATCTCAAAGCTTAAAACTTAAACTAATTATTGAGCTGTATCATAATTAGGAGGAAATGTGTAAATTGATCCATATAGAAAAATTTTGGATTTTCAAGTAGAAAGTCTGATGGTTAAATTGATTTTTTTTCTCTCGATAAATGTTATTTTTTTTATCAGAGAAGTCGGTAAAAATTGGAAGCTAGACTTTAAAGGAAGTTATTATTATCGTGATCATTTGAGGTGAAGATAGACGAGATTAAGCCAAATTATCGTGAGAACTAAAAATGTAAATGAACATTGAAAATATAAACACAACAAATAAAAATCAAGAGCAGCGTTCTTGCAAATTGTGCTCGAATTTTGCTTATGCCTTCAAATTACGCCATGGAAGCTCCAACTGACCTCTCTGCAAAACCCTAGCAGAACCTGAGGGGAATCGATCTTCCATGTCCAGACCTCCTTGATTGTTGTGCGTGGAAAGATTCGGACATTCAGAGCCAATGGATTCTCCCATCCCCTTTCAAGACCTCAATCTTCTCCCCGACCCATCCACTGCTCTAATGGCGGCCTCTATCTCCCCCAACACAGCTACAATCAACGCTTCTCCTAACAACAAATTTGTTGAAAGCGGCAAGTTGCTGACCCCCAAATTGGAACCCAAGCTCGAGCCATTCGACGATCTTTTCCAGACTCCACAGACCCAACCACCCCAACCAGTCCAGCAACCCTTCTTGTCAAGCCCTCCATCTAACTTTTTCTCCAACTCTGACTTTGCCCATACCCCCTTCTCCGACCAAAACCAAACCCCCATTTCTCAGTCTGCATCCATTTCCTCCGATAAGGACAATGTTTACTCCGAATTTTACCGCATTTCTCAGCTATTCAGGTCTGCTTTTGGCAAAGGATTTCAGAACTATGGCGATGCTGAAGTTGTGGATCCTGATGCTCGGGCAATTGTACCAGTTCCGGAGGAGAACCAGGTTTCGACCGTGGTCGTCTCAAAGAGGAGGTACGATAAAAGGTCCTCTGAGCTCGTAAGGGTTACTGATCTTGGTGTCGAGGACCAGCGGTACTTCCGCGACGTGGTGAGGCGGACCAGGATGATTTTCGATTCGTTGCGTGTATTATCAACGGCGGAGGAGGAGAAGAGTGCGGGACTAATGAGGCGACTTCGGGGCGATTTGAGGGCTTCGTCCTTGATGAGAGAACGCGGTCTGTGGCTGAATCGCGACAAACGGATTGTTGGGTCGATTCCGGGGGTGCACATTGGCGATCTATTCTTCTTTAGGATGGAATTGTGTGTTGTTGGATTGCATGGTCAGGCTCAAGCTGGAATTGACTATGTTCCTGCGAGTCAGAGCTCGAACGGGGAGCCAATTGCCACTAGCGTAATTGTTTCTGGTGGATACGAGGACGATGAGGATTCTGGGGACATGATAATCTATACGGGTCATGGTGGGCAAGACAAATTTTCAAGACAGTGCATGCACCAAAAGCTTGAAGGTGGGAATCTTGCTCTGGAGAGAAGCATGCACTACGGGATTGAAGTGAGGGTTATACGAGGTATAAAGTACGCGGGCAGTGTAGCCAGTAAGATTTACGTATATGATGGTCTGTATAGAATTCTTGACTGTTGGTTTGATGTGGGAAAGTCGGGTTTTGGTGTCTACAAGTATAAGCTTTTGAGAATTGATGGTCAAGCCGAAATGGGTAGCTCCATTTTGAAGTTTGCCGAGACTCTCCGGTCTAGACCCCTGTCTTTGAGGCCTGCTGGTTATCTCAGTCTCGACATTTCACTGAAGAAGGAGGCTGTTCCAGTTCTCCTCTTCAATGACATCGACAACGATCAAGAGCCATTGTATTATGAATATCTTGTTAGAACTGTGTTTCCGCCTTTTGCCTTTCACCAATCAGGAAGTGGTACTGGGTGTAGCTGTGTTTCAGGTTGTGTTCATGATTGCTTTTGTGCTATGAAAAATGGTGGGGAGTTTGGTTATGATCAAAATGGATTCTTAGTAAGAGGAAAGCCTATAATTTTTGAATGTGGACCCTTCTGTCAGTGCCCCCCTCAATGTCGGAATCGTGTTTCGCAGAAAGGCTTGAAACACAGACTGGAAGTGTTTAGGTCCAGGGAAACAGGTTGGGGCGTTAGATCTTTGGACTTGATACACGCTGGTGCTTTTATATGTGAATATGCAGGAGTTGTTCTCACGAGGGAACAGGCTCAAGTTTTTTCTATGAATGGTGATACATTGATATATCCAAATCGGTTTTCAGATAGATGGGCAGAATGGGGCGATCTGTCTCAAATATATTCCAATTATATGCGGCCATCATACCCCTCTGTTCCTCCTTTGGATTTTGCTATGGATGTATCCAGAATGAGAAACGTTGCCTGTTATATAAGCCATAGTACATCTCCAAACGTGTTGGTGCAGTTTGTGTTATTCGATCATAATAACTTAATGTTTCCTCACCTTATGTTGTTTGCAATGGAAAATATCCCTCCTCTGAGGGAGCTTAGCATTGACTATGGTGTGGCTGATGAATGGTCAGGGAAACTTGCGATCTGTAACTAATTTTGAAAAGGTTATTGTTTTTGATATGAGCAGCTCCAAATGCTGAGATCAATGAACCAAGGTAATCAAAATTTTCCCCAATTTGTATCATTTCTAATTAAAATACACTCTCGAGTCGTCTTATACTTCTCGTCCTACTGTGAATGATCAACCAATACTCTATGTTTTTGTGTGTGAGAGACAGCTTATGACATCATTTTTGGTCAACTGCATGACCTTTATTCAAAGTGCTACTTATATATTGTTTTATCTTTCTCATTATACTTTCTATATTATTGTAGTAATTCATCTATCAAAATCAAATTTGATATGAAGCCATCTTATGGTAGGGGCTATGGATTTACTAGTGGCTTCTTTTGTCCTTGTTCTGTAAAATTTCTTGGTCTAATTGGTTGGAGCTTTTAGGTAGTCATTCCCATCATTTGTCATTTTTTTTTTCTACACTCTTTGTAGGATAGGATCTCATACTTGACCCATTCTAGATTTACCTTATTAGTTTATTTTATTGAACACCTTTCTATGCATGGTTGACGTATTTGGTTGAAATTTGGTCAAGTCACCGGATCATAATATCCCCATTCTTAGGATAGTATCAGATGCTGAAGTGAGAATGCTCTCATGAAACGTGTCTCTTTACTGCATTTATATATATATATATATATATATATTTTACTGGATTTATTTTCCTGTAATTGTTATTTGCCATATGGAGATTTGATGTCTTAAAACCTGAGGAAGTACATCGGAAGCTCACTTTGTTATTGTTTAGGCCATAGAATCGAAGGAATGGACTGTTATAAAGAAAAGAATTGGCATGGGTTAGATGTTTGAGGTGTTTATAGGATCTAACGGTGATACTAACGACGCAGAAAGTTCCTAAAGGAATGGGTGAAAATTTCAATATTGCCAATAATATACTAAGACCTATAGTTATGATTTTGTGTGACAGCAAAGTTGACTTAGCTAAATCATACTACAATTTAAACTTGCCAAGTTCAAAAGACTATGCTATCACTATGCTAGTGATGAAAAATTTTAATCACTTTGATATGAGTTCAATATCAAGATTATTATTTGCTAACTGTGATCTTGATCCTCTTTCGAGACAAGACATGCATCCAGCTGTCTAAGATGCATACTATCCCCTGCTTTCAAACCCATTATACTGTTTGTTGTAATTTGATAATGGTTATTTATTTTTAATTTGATAGAATGAAGGGTTCCATGAGCTTTTGATGTAAAGAAGATTAGGATTATTGCATAGTGAGAATCTCTTTTTCCAGATTAGAGTAGATGAACATTGTGGTATATAAAATGAATTTTTACCAAAAGACATGATTAATTTATGCATGAAATAAGATTAATTCTGTGTGCAAATGTGAATGTTGATGTCAATGACTTGTGAATTTTGTCATACTACTGTTTCTTTTTTCCATTTTATTGTGTTATAAGCCATGAAGTTGACAGGGAGGTAAAACTGTGGATAGCATTTTCATTAAATTAGTCATTATCTATATGTCATCAGGTTGATGGCCATCATTCCGATGCACCATCGATTTTGCTAGATTTTTTCTCTTTTTCTTGGGTTGTATTGGGTGAATGAGCTGTCTCTGAGTTTCAGTGCTGATTAGCTTAATTTGAAGCCAACATCAATGTAGCCTTTTTTACTTTTCCACAATGAAATTAGGTGTTGATTCTGTTCTCTCTACTAATATCAATGCATCAAATGAACTGTGCAGATGAGAGTTGGAATATTGTCTATCTTAAAATTTTTTTGAAGTCGCGGCCTCGTTCCTAGCTATCACACCGCCCTTTTCTGGAGAGAAGTAGACTGCAAACTTGTTTCAACTTCCATATCAAGTAATTCACGACCTTTTTGACTTAAATACTGTATTGTCGTTGTTGTTGGCTCAGTTGCTCAGACATGTTAAAAAAGCACTGCCAAGTTTTTCAAAGGAAGAAAAAGAAAAGAGCTTATGAATTTCTGCAACTGATCACAGACCACGATGGCAGTGCGAAAATACTCTTCTACAGATTTTGGGCTTTTGGATCAAGCCTTTAGATACAGAATTTTCGCGGGAAACTTAAGGCCAAAAAAGAAAAGAAAAAAAAAACCGTTTCCCAAGCTTGTAAGCATGAAATTGAAAATTTTTTGTACTTATATAGCTTGTAATTTACAAAGTCCATAATCGGCTAAAAATTTGTACTCTGTACAGTACAGTAATTTCTTTCAGATGTACAGCTGAAGTCTTGGTTCTTCTGTTTCTTCTAAATTCTCTCTCTCTCTGTGTTCTTTCTTCCTCGTATTTTTGGATCAGTAGCTCATTCTTGGATGGTCCTGTCTTGCTGTTCTTTTGAGTAGTTATGTTATAAGGAAGCTGCTTTTACCTGTAATCATGGTGTTATGAGTCTATTCTGCTTACAATATGATAGCGTTCAATCTGATGTTCAGCCATTGATGAGGTCTGTTTCGAAGTAAAAATAACTTTTATCTCGTTCGGGATGTGAGCTATGTTTCTTACGTTGTTTGTTTGCTTGTGTTTTGTTTTGTTTTTCCTTATCGGTACGTGTTCCTGAGTCTTTTTGTCTCTTTTGTGCTTTGATCTCCGGTTATGATATCCTTCTTGTGTTTATGGAACAGATGACATGCAAAGTGTTTAGGTTTTTGTGTAAGGGCCATCAGTATGGTCTTTAATACAGCTGGTCCGGACACACGGATATAAAAAAAAAAGTGTGTGGTCTTTAATGCATTAATTTAATTTAATTAATCTTTTTGTTTTGTTTTGTCTTTGGGAAGGCTTTCGACTGGGAAAAGGAGATCGGTATTAAATATCAATGTTTGATTTTGATTTTCGAATTTTGCAATTTGAAACTTAAAAAGAATGTTAAAGGGCTTATTTAGTATGCGGATTATGTGACTTGAATAATGTAGATTCTGAAAAATAATATTTTTTATGTTTTATGATTTTAAATTTAAAAATTTAAACTGCATAATTATATTGAAACAGATTAAAACTTTGTAAATTTATTTTATTTTGGTACATAATAATTATACAAAATTTATAACATATATGTTAATAAATGAAGGGAAATAGTAATATTTTAGATTGTGTTGTACAATTATTAGGTAATTTTTCATTGAAAACATAAAATACAATCTATTTTTCATTCAAATCCCTTGTTATTAGGTAATTTTGACTGAATCAATTTTTAATTTATTAGAATGATATGTTTATAAGGGATTAGTAGGATGTTCTATTTAGAAATCATGGAAAATTAATGTTTTGGACGAGTGAATTAAGGGATTTGTGACTCACAATAATTCAAGGATTATGATAATAATTTATAGAATTAAATCTTTTATATTTAAAAAAAAAACAAATAACTATAATAAATATAAATGCAATAAATATAGATAAAATTGAAATTAAAATAAAATCCTACCTGCAGAAATCCTAAAAGTATAAAATAAACAACACTCCAAAGAAATTATCAAATCTCATTACAGTATTCAAATTTGCATATTCACTTTTTATCTTTTAAATTACTTTATTTTATTTTAATTTGTTGAATTCTACATTTTATTTAACTGATTGCGTGTTTTTTTTACGAGTAATGCTCCTCTTGCTTATTTTGATAATTTTAGGAAACACAATTTTAGAAATCTATTTATTTTCTATAGGTTATTTTTAGTACTATACTTATTTTGTCCGGGTTTTATTGATAAATGGGGCCCACATTAGTTTAGTATATAGTTGGCGGTGCTTTTTATTATTATTATTTTTTTGAAAGTTACGTTAGAATTATTATGGTGTATGAAAATTATTTCATTAAAAATTGAAAATGACTTGAAAGTAACTGTTTGATTTAAAAGGTTTGTGCTTCAAAAGATATTCCGTGGTCCAGTTTCACCCTATGTTTAGGGATGATTGTAAAAACTAAAAAGTTAATGAAACCTTGGGT